AACTCCTTGTAATACCTGGTCGAAATGTTTCTGATTAATTTTATAATATAATGCGAATGTACTATCATATTTGAACCACACTTTACAAAACATATTATCCTTACTAAGCCTATACCAAGTAAAACGATGGAACCTATTATTTCTAGTATATAAATACTGGAAATAAAAAATAAAAATGGAATGTCGGATTAATCCAAGGTACCTTCCACACAAAATGGTCAAAATTTTGCGAAAATTCATTTTATAATATTAGCTTGGAGAAAAGAAATCCAGATGGTTGTACTAATAAATTTCTCGTAATGTATAGATCAGACATATTTATGCTCGTTGGAAGGGAAACATTTCGCAGTAAAAAATAATTATTTTGTCTGGTGCATTCAGAATATTCGGTACATTTTAAGTTTGCCAAAGGCGAAAATGCAAGCCAAGCGCCTAAAATTGTGAATAGTGTTTATGGTACCGATATTGTAACAAACAATTATGTTCAGTTTTGGTTTCGTAGATTTCGTTCAGGAATTTTTGATGTTAAAAATGTACCTCGCACAGTTAGTTCGGTCGTCGAAAATGTAGATAAAATCGGATAAATTATCAAAGTTTTCCGGCAGCTAAAAATCAACAATAAAACTGTTTTAAACCATTTACAATTAACCAGAAACCAGGAATTGACCAACAGGAGTGGTGACGTTTTCCACCAGGACACACACATCTACAGTGACTCGCTAGAAATTTTGGGAGCTTGATTGGGAACTTTTAATGCACCGACATACAGTCCAGGCTTGAAACCAAGTGATTATCATCTTTTTCGTGCATTTTTTCCCCGTATTTTTGGGATTTTGCACATATTTTTTAACCAATTTGGCTGTAATTTGGTATTTTAAGTTTTCATTGGATGTAAAATCTTACTACCAAATATTAATAATGTAGACACAAGTTTCAGGGTGGCCCCCATTTTTTGGAACCTTCCAAATATTCGGTATTTTAGTGATTTTGGGAACGTTTCTCAACCGAATTGACTCAGATTTGGTATTTTAAATCTTATTTTTATCACGTCTTCTTCAATATGTTCAAGGTCATTTTATAACATGCGTTTTTTACTGGGAGCCCCCATTTATTTTGAGGTATTTTGAATGTCATCCTCATGATGGAGTTTATAAAAAGATCGGCGGGACGAACAGCACTTTGTTTTTATTATATTCATAATTTTTCAGATTGTGACTGTTTTTGGCAGTTGGATAGTTGCCCTTATATATGGTTTGTATAAATATAAAGGTCTACAAGGTTTAGACCACACAAGATCAACCTTCTTTTCAGATAATGTACATATTTTTTTTAAGTTGACGTACCGGTAGAAGTTTCCCTATAGACACATAGTCGAATTTGATGCTGATGTGGTAAAAATATTGAATATAGCAAATTTCCATTCATTCAAATAAAAATTACATGTTTTTAAATTTTGGAACTTTTTTGGAGAGGTTCTTGAGCTATGTTTGGTAAAAGTTTAACAATGCCCAAAGTTTGTATCGAATGGGAAGATTAGGATAGGTTAGTTACAGGAGACATATTGAGAGAAGATAATTGTGGTAGAAGAAGGTAGTGGCAGCAATGTCAATTTCCAGGATGTGCAATTTTTAAATCTAATTGGATACTGCGATCGCATGTTGTTATGAAATTAATTTTCAACAACATGTTGACCATTTTGTGGGGAAGGTACCAGAAGGTTTTTCGAATTTTATTTAGGTTTAAAAAAAATATTACGATGTACACAGTTTGGATGAAATCGGTTACTCACATCCAGAGTTATCGTGCGCACTAACCAGCCAGACCAACGGACATTGTAATTCGACTCTAAATTGTCTGAAAAGGATCTGGTATTTTGATATGGCACATTTTTATCTTAGCAAAGTGTGTATTAAGGTATAGATATGGCTGCCATATTCTCCGTCCAATTTCATGTAAATGGTGTACAAAACATACTTCATACTAAATTTGGTACATTTTGAATTTTTGGTGGACCCATAGAAGTGGGATCCTGAAATTAGGATTATTGTTGAGGTAGGATTGGAGTTATGTATGAAGTTTTGGAAATTCGTACTATTATGAACTAAATAGTACCAAATTTAGATTGGGTGAACCGATAGAGAGAATTTGAAAATAGGGTTACTGTTGTAGTGTATAATTGGGGTATTGATGTAGTTTTGGAAATTCATACTTATGGGTATAAATGGTACTAAAATTTGGAACAATTTTAATTTTGGGTGAACCGATAGAGCTGGAACGTTTGGAAATTCATGCTAATTTTTACTAAAATTGGTACAATTTAAATTTTGTGTGAACCGATAGAACTAGAATCCTGAAATTTGGAGTTAGTTTCACTGTTGGTGTGTAGGATTGTGATATGTAAGTTTTGGAAATTTGTACTAATGTGCACTAAATGGCACCAATGTGGATTTCGATGTACCGATAGAGGTGAAATTTTGAAATTTGTTAAGATGTTAGTTAGGATGACTTTTTGGGTGCACGATTGGGCTGCGTACTAAATTTGGCACAATATACATTTTGGGTGAACCGATAGAGCTGGAACCCTAAAGTTAGGAGTTTGGATCATTGTTGGGGTGTAGAATTTGGGTATATAGGAAATTTAAAAATTCATACCAATGTGTTTTAAATGGTACTAAATTTGGTACAATTACATTATGGTGACGCGATCGAGCTGGAATCCTAAAATTGGGAAATATGATTTCTATTGGATTTATTTATTTTAATGTATACTAAATTTGGTAAAATTATGATTTGGGTTAACCTATAGAGCTTGGATCATGAAATTTGGAATTAGTTTTGGTAATAAGTTCTTCAACAGTACGAAAGGTAATAAATGGTACCAAAATGAATATAGAGCGAGATTGCTGTTGCAGTCAGAATTGGTGTGTAGTGTTGAGATATGGAGGTGGTTTTGGAAATACGTACGCATAAGAGAAAAAAGGAAGTAAATGGTACTAAAATTTTAATTATGGTCAATATTGGTGTGTATTGTGATTAGCTCTTCTGACTATGCAGTTCTCTGTGAAAACAAAATATTGCATTTAGACATGTTTAAATAATTCTCACGTTTGCTAACGAAGTATTGGGCATATGCTAGTTAATTATATTTGTGTCCTGTCGAAACTTGAAAAAAAATCGGTAAAAACATTGATTAGCTTCCATACAATTTCCTTCAGTTTCATAGAAAAGATAGCTACGCCTGTCCTAATTAGTCACACATTTAGGAAATTGATTATATCAGAAAGAGAACATAATTTGGAACTTACAATATAACCCCAATATTGAGTATGATATGTCCAATATTGATACATCTTATACATATATGATACATCTTATATCGATCCACAATGTGTCAATGAGGAACATGTATGTTATATTTAATTCGAATAAGTTTCACGTTTGATATAGTGCTTGCTTGCAACATAAGATATATATTTTCCACCTCTATTTTAACTACCTTTTCTTATCATTCCTCTATTATCCTTGTAATTCTAAAGGACTTACATTACTGTGACATAGTTTGTGTGTTGCTTTGAATTTTACGTAATTGTATATAAATAATTGAATTACATAAATAACACATTTCAATATCACGTTCCATAAATTGTTTTCCAAATTGGATTAAAATTGCTTTCGACACAATGAAATTCGAAATTCTTTGGTATTTGTATTGCAAAATGTCCATAAATATTTATAATTCAAATCTTCCATTGTGCGCGTATACTACATCAAAAGAAGAAGATGAAGACAAAAAACAACAAAAAATAAAATAAATATGAAAATAAACAAAAAAAATGTACATCTTACACATCACACTCGCCGTCACTTACATAAATTACCAACAGTCAAAGCGCCAACGCATTTTGTAGTCATTTAAGTTACTATTGGTGTTGTTGTTGTTGCTGCAAAGTGTTACCAAAAGGCAGCAAAAGCTTAGGGAGCGATCTGTTAATAATTATTATACAAAATTATACCAAAGATCATGATGATCTGGAGAGTAAAACTCGAAAAATAAGAGAGTCAAGTCCCCAATACTATGCGGAAAGAAATTTGTAAACAGTTAAGGCGGTACGGTGCGCTGTGAAGCAAAAGAAAGTGTGTGTTGGTGTGAGTGCGCGCCGTGCGAGCGAGCATTGCTTTTTCTTGGTAGATGCGTGTCGATGTTAACGTATCTCTCGACGCTTCTTTTGTCAAACATTTGTAAAGAGGAAGAAATTCTTTGAGCTGCCAGCCAAAAGAGAGAGTGTTTTTTTGTGGAGCTACGGGGGTGTGGGATGGATGACAACAATGCTTTTAACGGCCATTGAGTGTGTTTCAAGCCATTGATTATGGCTAAGCATTGGTCAAAGGGGATGGGGGGCTGAGAGCCAAGGTATTGTCCATTGGTGGCTGAGTCTGCGGTGCGTAGTAAAAGCTTCGCTCAAAGAGGGGTTAAACATTAATGGCTGTGTTTTTTACATGTGTTGCTGCTAATGATATACATTGAGGTTTACTTATTTATGGTTATGGCTATTGTTGTTGTTGCTTGGCTTGCTGGCTGTGTATGGTATGTGTATGTCATCATTTATACCTTTAACCGGCTACTACATCACCTTCATCCCAACAACAACAACATCAGCAGCAGGGCAGCAATGGCATGCCAGCCACATTTACAAGAGCATCATCATCTTCATGGGCATAGCTTGGTAGCTAGGTTGCCTGCTTTAGGGTAGCAGCGCAAGCAGCAAAGCTTGACATCAGCGCCGCCGACTGCAAAGAGTCTCTATAGGTTTTGCATAATTATACGATTTCGGTTGATTGTTTGAGACTGTTTAAAAACAGCCTGACACCGACGAAAAATTATCAAACCTCAACTTGTTCCATTCGAATGAACACACAGTGATTTCGGTGGTGTTCATAAGTTTCAATAAACGGTTACAACTATAAAAGTTTAATCCCGATCAACACAAAAAAGAATCCTAAATTCGTTTTATCTACACGAAAAAACAAAAAACCAACAACCTAATTCAAAATGAAATTCTTTGTTGCTACTACTTGTGTGCTTTTATTGGCCTCTGGCATCCTTGCCAATCCCGCCATCAAGGATAACACTGTTGAACAAAATGGTGTATTTGCCAAGTGCTTGGAAGCTGATTCAATTTCGTGTCTGCAATTAACGGTACGGATTATTACATAATTAAAAAAAAAACAAAACAAACAAGAAAACAACAATAAAAAAAGGAAAAACTTCAACAATTTGGTGCTCATCATAAGACAAGGATTAAATAATTAAACAAAAACAAAGAGCCTATAAAAATAAAACAATTAACTTCTAAGGCTAAAGAAAAAAGTGAAAATTGAAAAAAAGACATTTACAAAAGAAAAAAAAAAAACACAAAGACGATTTCAATATGAAACTGAAAGTGTTAAGAATGAAAAAAAGGAAAAGATAAAAAAAATGACAAAGAAAATGAAAGTGAAACAAAGCGGTTTATTGAAATCCCCCCAAAAATATTAAATTATTTCAAAGATTTCTACTTTTTCTTCCATCATCACAAAGTGAAACATGTGTCCAAAAATTAGATAATACCTAAAATGGGTCACCATTTACCTTTAGGGTCATCTGAAAGTGCAATAATTATTTCCCCCATGGATTACATGACAATTTCATAATCAAATCTGGTTTTGTGTGTCTTCGTGTAACTCCTCTCCTTCCTCTTTTTTTAATGGAAATTTCATTTCATCTTATGTAATTTTTTTATATTGAATTTTGAATCCAGTCCAACTGGTTTACGAATTTTTAATAATTATTACATAAATTGTGGCTGTCATTTGTGATTATTTCACAAAGCATTGACAAGCAAAATAACTTTCCCTTTCTCATGTCACTTGAAATGGCCTAAATTCAGTTTCCAAAAATAGCTTCACAGCTTATAAAAAACTGGTCAACACTTAAAAGATTTTATAAATATTAATCCGATATATCAAAGTGTGACCTAATCTAAAAAAATGCTTTGTGGCTTTCCCAAATTTTCAGCTATTTTCCAAAAATGGCTTTAACTCATACTCAGCATACAAAACACATCTCCCAGTTCCGAAATATTCAAAATTCTTTCCCTTCACAATCACCGCTTTTGGACTTAATACACTTCCAAATATATGTATTTTTCCAAAATATTTCCAACATGAAAATTTATTTATGAATACCTAAAATTCATCACTTTCTAGTGTACTGTACCATACACAGCCTAATCAAATTCCTTTCTCATTCCTAGCAGCTTTTAGTTGACGAAATACCTCACATATCCTTTCACAATCTCTTACATCTAATTTAAAATTCTTTCCCTTCTAAACAAAACGTTTAAATTACCTTAGTTTGAAAATTCTGCCTTGTCTGTGTTTTCAAATTAGAGCAATTAAATGCTTTCATTTCTGAAAATGAAATCGTGGCCCACATACAATTTGGCCATTAACTGGTTTAAGCAGTTGGTTTTATGGCCAACCATGAACTTGAAGAAGAGTAACATGTTTTCAAAAAAAAAAAAAAAAAACAATAAAACATTTAGATGGTTAGATAAAAAAAAACACACAACACTTTTAGAGAATTCAATCTAACATATTCGACATAAAGAAATTCAATCCAAGTTATAAGAGCCACCAACAAATTGTTTATCTCAACCCATTTCCATTATAAACCCATTCATTAATCCCATTCTATCTCTTCTCATTTACAGCTCTACCGCAAAGCCAAATCCTTCTTCGATAATCCCCAAATTGAATTGTTCGGCGGTGTCTCATTGATCAAGTCCAACGAAGGTCGTCAAGGTAAATCTTTGGATGAAACCGCTGTCGCTGTTGAAAATGCCCCCACCATTGAGGCCCGCACCACTGAAATGGGCAACTACATGCTGACCAATGCCAAGAACTTCTTCGCTGAACGCTCATTGAACTTCAACTTTGCCAATGCTGCCCGCTCCGTTGCCCGTGCCATTCCCGATGACATCAAGGCTGATTTGCGCGAATTGGTTGTTGAATCCCGTACCGGCAAGAAGAAGAAGTTGTTGAAGAAATTCTTGCCAATCTTGTTGGGTGTCGGTGCTAAGGTCGCTGTTTTGGGTATTGGTTCCATCTTCGGTTTGTTGTTCATTGCCAAGAAGGCCCTCGTCATCTCCGTCATTGCTTTCTTCTTGGCCTTGGCTGCTGGTGCTGGTAGCGGTTTGAGCCGTTTGGGCGGTTCCGGCGGTGCTGGTGGTCTCTTGGGCGGTTTGGGTGGTTTGTTCGGTGGCAAGAGCTCCGGTGCTGCCACTGTTGGTTCCTCAGGTGCTGGCGGTTGGTCCTCGGGTGGTGCTTCCACCGGTGGCTGGTCATCTGGCAACAGCGCTGGCTGGGATTCCCACGGTGCCTACAGCTCTCCCGTTGCTCAAACCATTGCCTACTCCGGCTACAAGCAAAGCAGACGGTAAACAGGCTGCCAATGTTTTTTTTAGGGTAATATCAACGACACTAATTTAAAACGAAAGGATTCAAAAAACAAACACAACACAACAAATTCATCTAGGACCCACTTCTAAACGAAATTCTTCAGTTACAAATCGATAACTTAATTTATTTTTATTTATTTTAATTTATTTTTATTTAATTTATTGAAAAAACAAAAAATGAAAAAATGTGCCTTAGGAATGAGATTTGTTATTTAAAAACACGTTAGGTTTTCGTTTTTAGAAAGGAAATCCCTACGATTTTCCCGCTGAGATGAAATACACAACATCATAACTTTTTAGATTTAAGTTGAAATAATTTCCTCTTTTCTCTACAAAAGGGGATCAATTATAACTTTTCTAATAATTTTGCAGCAAAAGGAGCCTGACATACACACATACACATACACCGCAAAAGGGTTATCACAAAATGCATGAAAACTAGTCAGCATAAAAACGTATTGTGTGCACAGTTTCCATTTCAACATATTTTCATCATCACTCTTAACTATACTCTATCTACTATTCTACTTTATCCTTAATTCTTTCTCTGTATACTTTACTGTACTTTCCTACTATTCTACTACTCTGTATTCTATCCTATTTTTCTTTTATATACCTCTCTATCTTTCTATCTCTCTGTCACAATCTATCCAACTTTATTTCCATTCTGAAAACACCAAACAAAAAAATACAAACTCATGACTTTTTCTTAAAAAAAAAACTTTGCATCTTTTTTTCTTTATTCATTTGGGTTTTAAATTGATTTCGGCCAAGAAAAAAAAACAACGAACAAAACGCACACATATTTGTACAATTCATTAGCACTTTTTCCAGTTCATTCAAAGCGAATTTCTCTACAAACTTTCATTTCTTTTCTCAAACAAAAAACAGAAAAAAGAAAAAAAACATCATCAAAATCATAAAAATGTAATACTTTGTCATTGGAATTCTTTTGGCATGCACACACACACACACTCACTCACCACAAACAGATACACACCTCGATTCCATCCATTCAAACATCATTTCATAATTTTTATTTTTTCTTCGACACTTTTTTTCAAAATAACTCATCAACAGCTCTATTCATTATCAACGACACCGCAAAAATTATGACATTTCTTTAGTCATTGACATCACATGATTTGAGCGAGCAAATTTCCCTCCAGACCACAATTACTGCATATTTCAGTCCCAACTCTGAACTCACTCCCCTTACCTATCAATTCACAAACCATGACAATGTTTCATTTCATTTACTTCTTTCCCTCACAACGCTCCTGTTACAGGGCATAAAAATGTCTGCTTTGTCATTAGCCTTAACTGGCATTATTATGCCTTTTCTACTCTCGATATTTGCCTGCCTTCATTACACAAAGCCTGAGCAAAGTTTCATTAAAGCCCACACATATTCATTCACTTCACTTCATTTCCTTACTTTTACATTTTTACTCCCAGTGCTGTTTGTTTTGCCATATGAAAATCTTTACTTAGCTGAGCTGACATGCAAATAACAATTCCCCACCTCACCCCAAGCGATCTGTCAACAAATTTCTTTTCATAGTCTTCGACAATCTAACATTTCTACCTCTGTCATTTTCATTTTCTATTCCTGTGACCATTTCGAAAACGAAAACCGACATGTCATTATCTTTCGTATTTGGATTATGATATTCAGTAATAAATTAAAAAAAAAATTGCATGTAATTGAAATGTGTGTTGTTTTTATTTTCCAAATCAAGTTTAAAATAATTGAATTTATTTTTTGGGTAAAAAAATTGTGTTATGTTGTGGGTTACAAAAATAACAAGTGAAAAAGCGTTAAGTTCGGCCGGGCCGAACTTTGGATACCCTCCACCATAGTTATACTGACTGATACATGCAATGAAAATATAGGGAACATACCAAAAAGTGGGCATATACCAATAATTCTACAAACCGATTTATGTAAACCTGTAAGATCTGTAAGATCCAAAAACTTCCTAAAATCTGTAAGATCTAAAAAGTGGACTGATACTGATAACGCATTGTAGAGTATGAAAACCTCAAACTACTGTAATTTAGATTACAAAGTTATATGAGACTATGCCTAAAGGGGGACCAATATTGATTACATAATCTAGGAAGTAGTGAACATTTGGGGATATATAATGATATCCCCAAATATTCAGGACTATGCCTAATTAATGACCGGTATATGCCAATTTTGAACCAAATATTTCAATTGTTTATCTCAATTCTTTCCTTTAGGAGTTATCACTATATTGAAGAGATGCCTAAATGTCTGCCGACATATTTCATTATAGACATGTTTGAGTTATTTAATAACAATATCATTAGAGGGCGGAATGCTTACAACAGATGGCTAACAGATGGTCTTTGTAGGGTAAAAATTGACTATTCCCCGTAACGACTACCCAACCCCAACACACGAAACAAATCAGATAACTATTTTAATATAAACAAGTAAAAAAGCGTTAAGTTCGGCCGGGCCGAACTTTGGATACCCTCCACCATAGAAATACTGACAAATTTTTGAAATGAAAACATAGGGAACATACATATAACGACAATTCTTCCAATCGATTGTTGTAAACTAAATAGAAAATTCAGCAATTTCAATGGGGGTTTTCCTAAAATATCAAAACCCTAAAATGTTGACATATATTATTAACGCATGGTACGGTGAAACATGTGTCAAAAATCCTGAAAATACTCCAATTTAGAGGGCAATATTATATATGAGGCATACTAAAGCGGGACCAATATTGACAACATTGTGTAGAAATTAGCAACTACTTCGTGTTTTCATTAAATAAGGGGTTCGGCCTAATTAATGGCCGATGTAGCTCAAGTTCCAAGCTAATATTTTAGTTTTGAATCCCAATACCGTCCATCACGCTAAATATTAAATAGGAATGATGTTTTATATAGGACCTGGTCCTAAATGCGGGTCAATACAGTTCATTCTCAAACCTCACGTTTTAGTTTTTATGTCGATATCCTCCGAGAGAAAAATTATTAAACATATGGCTAAATCGACTAAATAGTTTTAGAATACAATACTATGTGGGACATAAACTGAAAATTTCGTCTACCGAATATCCCCCCTACTATGGTGGAATACAACTATATGTGATAACCCCAATACACGGAAAAAATCCTCTAACTATTTTAATATAAAAAAGGGGGTTATAAGGGAACTACCCCTAAAAGGGGTGAATATTAATAATTTTTGGTAGGAAGATTTGTTACCATATACCACTGCAAAATACCAAATTACAGCGAATTCGGCTGAAACCCGTGCTCAAGAAAAAGTGGACCTATATTTATAATTTTTAGTGGAGAAATTTGGTACCCAATAAGAACTCAAAGTACCAAATTTCAGCGAATTCGGTTAAAAACACGCTCAAGAACCTCAAAATACCGAAAATTAGGGGGTACCCTTATATGGGAGCTATGCCTAAACGTGGACCGATGCCTAAACGTGGACCATCTTCGAACTTGACCTGCCTGCAGACAAAAGACGACTCTATGCAAAATTTTGGGGCTCTATCTCAATTCGTTTAGACGCTAGAGTGCATGCTTAGATCGTCTTAGAATTTTACGCTGATCAGGAATATATATACTTTATAGGGTCGGAAATGATTATTTCGATGAGTTACAAACGGAAGAACAAAATTAATATACCCTCCATACTATGGTGGAGGGTATACAAATAACAATAATAACAACAATATCAAAATGATGAAACATTAAAGGACATCAGTCAAGAAATTTCAAAGCGAATAATTTAAAATGTAGTAAAATTCGTCTGTGCCGAATTTTTTATACCCTCCACAATTAGGTGATCATCTAAAATACATAAAATCAATTCGTCTTTTTATATTGGCCTGTGCCATGATCAATTGCTGCCAGGAGAAAGAAAATACCAAAATACAGACACTTGGTTGGAAAATAGAGATACGAATGGTGGCTACGTAGAAACATGGACTTATATTGAAAATATTATGTGGAGAAGTTGTGTACGCAGCAATATAAAATTGCAGTCACTTCATAGCAGTAAAATTTAGTTACCTCGTTGTGAAATCGCACCTAGGACCATGAAAAACACTTGTAAAGGGTCTGGTTCCTTATATGGGAGCTGTATTCCAAAATGACCCTATATTCATTCCAAAATGACCCTATATTCATAAACATATCTGGCTGATACCCTTCACCACTTTGGGTATATTCTACATATGTATCCTAAAAATTTCATGTCAATGTTCCTTCGAGGGAAATTGAACGAATTTAAATATAAGTGAACCGACTAACATCAATCCATACACATGTCATTCTGCAACCTATGCTAACTTTCACTTCTTCGGGCAGACTTAGAGTCGTTTGTGTACAATGGGACAAATTTTTGTAAATCGATTTACAGCACACTTGATACACACTATTCGATATGCCGCACTGTTAAAAATTAATCTCAATCAGACACCCGTTCGAAATATGTATGAAAGCTATGTGTGCATCTGCACCAATACGCCATTCTAGCCAATTTGATTTGTTGTGCGAAATTTCGTGTCAATCGGAGCATTAGGAGTTTGGTGCACCATTTACATAAAATCGGAAGAAAATATGTATGTGGATGCTATATCTAAATCTGAACCAATTTCGATGAAACTTGCCAGAGATTCATTTATAATAACTTCAGTATTTACTTACTTAGCTGACTTATGACAAAACGGCTATTCCATAGCCGAGCTTAAAAAAGATTTTCAAGCGCGTCGGTCTTGTGCGCATCTCATCCAATTGGAAAGACCTTTTTCCGACATGTTGTCTTCTAATATTTCTTTCCAACGAATTTGTGGCCTTCTCCTTCTTCGTGAACCATCATTTAGCTGGCATTTATATGCCTCCTGTGCTGAGTTATCATCATCCATTCACATAACATAGCCTAGCCATGCAGCTCGATACGTCTGACCACAGCACGCTGGATATCACTTTTTATGTGACGGGAAGGAGACTTATTCCTCTATAGTTGGTACATATCG